TATAGTTTGCCATAATCAGAAGTGTCTGGACGCTGATGGTAACCACTTTGAGCACCTCTTGCAACTGCAGAAGTCAAACGTGACTTCTATTCATCTTTTTATATATATATATATATATATATATATATATATATATATTGAGTATTGCAATTTTAATACAGTTTTCCTTTCTTAAAATGTGTATACATTTTTTGGGTACCCTCTGTGTATATATCCTGCCATCAGATGTAGTATGCTACTTGCAAACAGTAACAGAAATTCAGGAAAAGATAAAATTCAAGTGGTCAGTAAATCATCTATAATTTCAAGGCATGGAAATTTCACAATTTAAATATATAAGGCATATCACAATTTATATATATGTTTAAGACATGTAATATTTATATGTATATATATATATATCATATAAACTCTTTTAATTTTCACAAAAGTCCTATGAAGTAAGTACAGTTATTATCCCCATTTTATAGATAAGAAAACTGAGGCAGAGAAGGGTTAAGTAACACACGAGGACTTGGATGCAGGCATATGTGTGCACAGGCTGAACTATTAACCCTGATGCAGACACATGTGGGAGAGTGGAGACATGGAGGAATAAAAGGAGTAACTTTTCACTGAGATTCAGGTGATTGGGCTATAGCTATGTGCCAATATTAGTCATGTACCCTTAGCTATGTTGATCACAACTTTGTCCCTCACTTCTTTTTTTTCTTTTAAAAATTGTTTCAAAAAGGTACTGCCAAAGGTAAACTATAGTTATTTCTGTCATTAAAAATTGAGCGAGCTATAGAGTTTCATTAATAGTATTTAAAGCTCAAAGGTGGTCTAGCTTAAAGCTTCTACCTTCCCCACTCCCTTTTCACAGATGAGAGAGGATAACTCTTGCAAATCAGCTGCCATGAAGAACCAAGCCCTTGTGAGAGAGACATACGAAGCAAAAGACCTTGTCTTTCTTTGTAGCCAGACAGACAACAGGATTGCAACATGTCTAAATTTCTCATACACTGATTGAGAAGACACTGATAGATGTGTGGAAGTAGTCATAGAACAATAAAACATTGAAAAGATATTTGTCTGGTGGTCTCACTTTTGAGGTAAAGTGTCTCTCACCAATAGCACAAAGATAAAAGTGCTATCAAACCTGTTTCCACATAGAACTTTGGCACAAAGGACACCAAATGCTAGTGTGTATCCACACATAAATAGTCTATTTTGTAGAATGGAAGGTGGTTCTAGAATCTTAGTCAAGGCAATGTATCAGTATCATTCTGGTCAGTGTTTTTTTTTAATGTCCTATTTGCACGGTTATCACTCATAGTTTTAAATGGTACAAGGTGTTTTTATTTGTGTGCATAGTAACCAATGACTGAAAACAAATCCATGGTACATACTTAAAATGTCTTAAACCTTTAAAAGGAGAATTAAGCAATGATTTTGTTCACAACTATTTTTCTACTTTTTCTTTGGAAAAATCACAGTTCTGAGTTCAACTTGGTGGCTATGACTGGTCAGAAGGAGGAGGGTGATAGAGGTCTCCAATTTAAAAGAAGGAATTGTAAGTTCTGGTCTGCTTTTCTGCCCTATAAGCATTCCACACCTACGGCTGGCACCCTTGACATGCACCTGCAGATCCCACCTCATCCTGACTCTGGGGTATGTTATAGAAAAATGCAAGGTTCTTAATACAATGTGGGAATTTAGATGGATTCTGGGACAGAAAAGGGGGTTTAATGAAAAAGCTGGTGGAATCTGAATAATGTCTTAGTTCAGTTAACAGTAATGCACCAATGTTCATTTCTTAGTCGTGACAAATGTACCAATTATGTCAGATACTAACGGTAGGAGAAACAGGGTACAAGGTATACAGGAACTTTCCATGCTGTCCTTTCAACTTTTCCATAAATTTAAAATGTTTACAAAATTAAAAGTTTATTTAACAAGGACTTCAGAATCAGACTTGAATTCTGAATGTTACTTCTGCCACTTTCTAGCTGAATGACTTTTCTTACTCTTCATTTATTTTATTCATTCACATTTATTGAGCACCTAATACACTGCAGTAACCATATTACTGCAGGGATGAAAGACCCAATCTTACACTCCAGGAATTCACAAGTTCATGCCAGGGTTTTACAAAAATGCAGGGCAATTTTATTATAGACTATGTTTCCTTGTCTATAAAAAATGTCTCTCTCACACAGGGACATTAAGATGAACTGAGATAAAATAGGCATGAAAACCAGCATAGTTCCTGGTCCATATGAAGCATTCAGTATAGGTTCTCTCTCTTTCCCCTGGGGATTATTTCAAAAACCCTGGATGAATCAGCAATGTCAGAGGTTCAGGACCGTGTCAGTCTTGCTGCTGGCTCACCTCTGGCTTGATGCTCAACTATAAGAATTGGCCATCTGTCCTGTTCCTGCCACTATGCTCCAGCTTGGCCTGCAGCTTCAATTAAAAGAGGCCCTGCCTTGCTCTCCCTCCCTGATTCTCCATCTTCATCAACTTCAGGGTAGTCTCATTTCTACTAGACCAGGACTCAGCCTTTGTCTCAGTCTTACAAAGGAGGATTCCTCAACCTTAACCCTATTGACATTTTGAACTAGAAAATCCTTTCTTGTGGAAGGCAGACCTGCACAATGTAGGATAGTTAGCATTCACCCACTAGATTCCGGAAGCCCCACCCCTCAAACTTGTGACAAACAAAATAACTCTAGATATTGCCAAATGTCCTTCGGGGGTTGGAGGGAGGAGCAAAGTCACTTTTGTTAAGAACTGATGCAGTAACAGCTTATGGAGAGAGAGCTTGTTCTATGGACATTCAGAAATCCAGAACTTTTGAGTTAAAGTCAAAACACTGCCCTTTACCATATTGGTGAAACAGATGTGCCAACAAAAAGTGTTCTGTGCTCAACATACTGGGGGTGCCAAAAAAATGTATACACATGACTTGTACTCATCTTTTGTTATCAGTATATACTGAGTATTACAATTTTAATACAGTTTTTCCTTTCTTAAAATGTGTATACAGTTTTTGGCACCCCCTGTGTTTGGGAAGTGGTTAGATCCTTTATTCCAGGCCTTCTCAAAGCCTTTACTGTATTCATGTACACAGTGACATTCTAAGATGGAGCTACAGTGAAAGCCTTTGCCAAAATGTTGGAGTAGGAAAAAAATTTGGAATAACATTTAAGGAACACGAGTTTAAGAAATAAGGTACTGGGCCGGCCCAGTGGCACATTGGTTAGGAGTTGGCTTGGGATGCCAGCTCTGAGCAGCAGGGCCCCGGTTCAGATCCCACATGAGGGCCAGGGATGCTGCGCCCTCTACAGCTAAGATGGTGAACAACAGCTCAACCTGGAGCTAGGATGCAGTGAGTCGCTGGCGACAGCATAAGCTGCAGTGGGGCTGGCCGGCAGCTGGCGTGAGCTGCTGTGAGCCACCGTGAGCAGCTGTCCAATGGTCGGCGACTGACTGCCTCACCCAGGAAGAGCGCAATGATAATGAGCCAGTGAAGCGACATCCTCCACAACTAGACTGAAGAACAAAAGGACAGCAACTTGTCTGTTCCCCTTCCCTGATTCCCCAATGCTGTTCNATATATATATATATATATATACACATGTGTAAGGATTTGAATAATCGCAAAATACTTCATAGATATGGTTTATTGTAAATAGTAAAACTGGTACCTGCTCTGTAAGGGAGGAAAGTAGAACTTGTTTTTATCTTTGATCTTTAGCATCTTGGTCCTCTCTGCTGTTATGGGATGAATGATTCCAGTGTTTTCTACATTGGGCAGAATGCAGACATCTAGGTCATCACTATAGCAACTCTTCACAAAACTAGAAAAGGTGACATCTGAAAAAAATTTTTTAAAGATATCATAACATTAGATCATGTAAACTACCAACCACAAATATAGATTACACACAATTAAATATTCTTATAGTAATATATGGCCAGGAGTTAGTTTAAGCTTTCCAGGGTAATTCCAGGAGTTTACATAAATCTTGACTTAAAATAGCTATAATTTTTCAAGACATGGACATTGTTTGCAACACAGAAGAGTATTCCAACACACTCAAGTATTAAAAGCAATACTTTTTATCAAAGGTTTAATCAAAATCCAATAACGAATGAGTACAATAATACAAAAGCGATATGACAGATTAACTGCATAGGCTGTGGTATAACTTTGATTTTATTCCTGGATGTCCCACTAATTACTAAACAACCTCAGTGAGGCACAATTTCTGCATCTAAGTTTCCTCCTTTGTATAATAAGAAAAATAACACCTACCGAAGAGAACTGTCCTATAATCAAATTAAATTATTGCTGTGAAAGCTCTTCAACATGCACAAAGCAGTGCTTTTTTTAGAGGAATCACTCATTGTCATTATAGGCCGTTACTATGGTTATCGGTACACAGCAGGTGGCCAGCGGGACACCAAGCATTGGACTGTACTGCACCCTTTAGTTGATATAATTTCAGAATATTAAAAATTCTATGCACAGATGTATGAAACTATGTTGTTTAGATAAGCCCAAACATCCTACCTTGAAGTTTCACTATTCCTGAAATTGAATGGCCTTTTCTCACTTTGTGCCATGCTTCCTGAGGCCACCGATTTGGTTCTGAGGTGAATACAGGCCACAGAATACCAACTCGACCCCCTCTTGGGTTGGGAGGAGCTCGGGCTGTTAATGTCAAGTTGGCAGAGCAAGGCTCAACCCTGTCCTGAATGCAGTCAAAAGAGGAGCTAGTGGCCACGATGACCGAATTCCTTAGTACAACCTGCACATTTTCAATAGACCTCTGTCGAAAAGAAGACACATATACTGTTGCCAAAAGGCCAATAGTGTTGTCCACCAGAGTGACGTTCTCTATCTCCACGCTGTTCTCCACATGTAGCATAGCACCGTAGTCAAAGTTCTTGAAAGCCAAAAAGCCAGAGATGCGAGTACAGTTGTCAAGTCCACTTTCATTATACAGATGAAGGCCGTGAAGGCTTGAGTGGGCCACATTGTCAGCCCAAAGGCCTTCAAGAGAGGAACACCTCTGGCCTCGGATGTGATAGCCAAGTCTCTCTGATCCTGCCACAACGTTGCCATGGAGATTGATGTCCTTTGCCTGGTTCACTTTGATTCCTGCTACCCAAACTGTGGACCAGGCAGACTGTGTCATCAGCACCACAAGGTTATTAGAGAGGGAATAGGCCTGACCCTCCAAATCAATGCCATGGCCAGCTGTATGAAACACTATATTGTCTTTCAAAATGACCCCATGACTGGCAATTGCGTGAATGCCCCCACCGCAGCTTTGGTGTAGAGTAGAAGATATTATCCAGGATCCTGCTGACACATTAGTGAGTTCAATGGATGAAAACAATGGTGACCCAAAGTTCTGAATTTCTACATTCAAAAGTTGAAGGACACCTGCAAACAAAATGCATATCATCAGGCACTGTCTTTTTCCCCACACAAGGCAGAAGGATGGTCTAATTATGGGTATCAGAATATGCAGATTTTTATTAAAATATAATTGTTTGTTCTCAACACAAACATATTTCATGCCAGTGAGTCTCACATACAAAATATGAATCTTTAGAATATCACATTAACGCCGAAAAAGGTTTCATGCGCAGTCTGAAGTGTCTGGTGACAGTATGAAGAAAGAGGAAAAAAAGATAGAGAAAGAAATGGGTATTGGAGTTGGGCACAGCTATTAATAGCTAAAAGATTCTACAGATTTGTCTGCAGGGCTAGATCAAGGAACTAGATAAGAATGAAGGGAATATGGGTTCTCTTCTTGACACTCACCTCAAAGTCATGTCTCCCTCCCTCTGTTTCAGTGACCCCATGTGAAAAGGCCATAGCCATCCCCACAGAGATACTATATTAAGAAATATAATGGCCAACTCTATAAAATATTTTAAAGCATTTCTTAAGAGTAGGATATAAGGGAAAAACTTACTTCTACACAATTTATGTCCAGAAACATGACATTCAATACATGCTTAAGATCTGTTAAAGATCTTAATTTGATTAAGATCTGATAAAAGCAGTAACATATTTTTTAAGATATGATTAAGATCTCATAAAAGCAGTAACATATTTTTTAAATCATTTAAAAATTTTTTCCTGTATTTTTATCCTAGCCATACTACATTCTCTGTTTTATTTTTACAATAATTATATTGTCTATATCTTTATGTCAGGAGAGGTTAGTGAATTATTTAGTCTTATTGACAATTTTATTTGGACCATTTTAAATAGATATTGTTAAATTATAGTATAAAACATATAGACTAGATTGATTTAAAAACATAATGAGCACTAATGTCAGTGTATACACTTTTGATAAAATAGTATCACAGTTATAGGGAAAAAGGAAGTAAATTTATAACTATAATATGTAATTCTCATATAACACTCATTATATACCAGGCATATATATATATATATATATATATATATATATA